GTGGGGTCAGCACTGCTGGTGTCAGGGTAGTTTAAAGCAGCAGATGCACCTGCGTGGGCCACAGTGGGGACGGTGAGGGAGCCCACCACCCCTGACAGGATGTTTTGGCCCAGCTGGGCCTCCTGGGACCTGGCTCTGGCTTGATTTTCTTTCCATATGTGTCTTCCCCTCCCTGAAAAGGTTGGCCACCCACACATGCGTGCGCGTACTTGGTAAACCTCTCTCCAAGGGCCCCAGTAAACCTCTCTCTGTCTCTGTCTCTGTCTCTGTCTCTGTCTCTGTCTCTGTCTCTGTCTCTGTCTCTCTGTCTCTCTCTCTCTCTCTCAATGGTGTTGCATTGTGTTTTGCGGACTTCATGCTCCCCAGCTCATTTGTGAGGCAGACAAGGGTATCATTACTGTTCTCTTACTTGTTAAGTTGCCTGAGAGAAAAAAAAAGAAACAGGAAAGTTTTTCTTCCTCCAAGTGTCTAATTACTGGTTGGGTGAGCCCTGACCCATATACATTTCCAAAGAGAGAGACACTCGATGCCTGAGAAATGTCCTTGAATGGGACTCAGAGACCCTCCACCTGCCACTCCATCCACGGGCCACTGGCCCTGCAGCAGGACAGGACTATGGCCAAAACTTCACAATGCCCTTAGGCTGCTTGATTTGTTGCCTTGGTCTCTGGACATGCCTTTCTGCATTTGTCATTCCTCTCCCTTCATGGGGCGTATGCTTCCTTTCCTGTTGCCTGTGCCGTGTTCCTTGCCCCTCTTTGCTCATTCCCCATCCTCTGAGCAGGCTCTGACCCTCTCACCTGCCTTGGTTTTTACCCACCCTTGTCTTGTTTACTTGCCTGCCTGGCTTCTCTCTGAGGCCCCTAGGTCCAGTCTCTTCCAGGTCACGTTTTATCCTTAGCACCCAGCCTGGTTCCTGCACACATGGAGTGCAGTGAGGTTGGCCCTTAGGAGGGAGCCCCACCATCCAGAACCACGGAGGCTTGAGCATGTGACACTAATGCACCCCAGCCCAGCGTCCAGGTTCTTGATTCTGACGCCTTGTTCATGGGCAGATTCAGCATTTGCATTCTGGGACCATCAGCTTATCTTGTGACTCATTTTCAATTTCCCTCCTGGCTGTGCACTACTTGGTCAGGCTTAAGATTTTCTCCATTCATTCATTCATTCATTCAGCTTCCTCCACATACCAGCCACTTCTTGGGCACTGGGTGTGTAGAGATGAACAACACAGACTCGTCCTCACATTCTAACGTGGAGAGATGGACCAGAAGCAAGTCAGTCAGTAAATGAGATGGAGGGGTGGTGACGGGTGCAGACATGCTCTTGCCTTGAGTGCCAGGCGTGCAGGGGTCGCGTGCAGAGAGCATGTGGGGCGGGAGAGGACGTTGCAGCATTTCATCTTTGGGAAACACACTATGTTACAGCATTTTTATTTTTCTGCTCTCCTGCTTCTGAAAATGTCCTTCAGTTGTCTGACGGAGCAAAGGCCCTAAGTATGTAAGGCTTCTCTCTGTTGATATGATCGGATTATTGAGTGCGTTTTGTAAACTGGTCAAGAGAGGGTGGTGCTCTCAGCTTGAGCTTGCTAAGACACCTTCCAGGCTGTGTGTCCCTGGCGGAGATGGAGGGCCTGGGAACACCCAGCGTCACAGCAAGGGCCACGGCAAGTCAGCAGTGGACTCCAAGCCAGCCTCAGCCCTCGTAGCAGAGAGCCTGGGATACTGAGATGTCTTCTGAGTCTTGCAGTCCTGAGGCCTCCAGCTGAGGGCTCATCATCTGACTTGGCTCCGAGCAGCTCAGCACCCTGATGATTGCCAAGGCTCCCTGGGCCTTGGCACAACAAGGTGGCCGCAGCTTGAAGACCAGAGAATGAACATCCCAGTTCCCAAAGCTCCAGTGAGTGTCTGAAAACCACTGGGTGAGATGACACCTCCAGTGCCAGAGAATGCAGAAATTGGTCTCCTGGGCCAGGGTCACTCCTGGCCCACGAGTAGGAGCAGTGTGCCCTGTCCTCCCCTGCCCACTCCAACCCTGGCCCCTTTGACCTGACAGATGGAGACACGCACCTGTGGTACCCCTCGCTGCCGGAGGTCATGGAGGCGCTTCACAGCCTGGGTGCCCACAGCACCACCCTGTGCCCGCTGGGGTACTCTCAGCATAGCGGAAGGTGAGTCCGTCCCCTTGTTTTTGTCCTCATGTCCTCTCTCCTCCGTTCACCAGTCACTGAACTCGGTTCACACCCATCAAAGTATGTACCTTAAGTGGGGGCAGGCTTTTCCGTACCATTATAGGTCAGTACAGAGGTTAAAAACAAAACAAAACATTACAAAGAATCTCAGCATACATTCACGCTGGGAAATATTAAAGTATTTCCTAGTCTATAAATATAACACACCTCGTTGTTCGTTGTCCACAGCTGTCGATTTCATTGTTGCTTGTGGGACAGCCTTTAGCTCAATGAGCAACTATACGTTAGAAAAAGGAAGACTTCCTCTGATAATCAGATTATGTAAAATGTGTGCATTTTTTTAAGTTAAAAAAAAAAAGTTACTGAACTCAGCTGTAGCCTACCCAGTGAAACCCAGAGCCTGACAAGTTTACAAGACAACCCCCACGTGTAACCGAATGTGAGTGTGCAAACTGCCTTGCTCCCAGCTTCGGGGATGGGAAGAACCAGGCACGACACTGTCTTGCTACTTTGATTGACAGCTCTTCCCGCTCCTGCCTGGCTCAGGGCCCTCACTTCCCCTCCTCTTCTAAAATGTGTCCCTGTCTCTTCAGTCCATCTGCAAGCCCCCTCTCTGTCTGGCTCACACCTGACATCAGCTCATTGCCAGTGGGGCACAGTTGTGCATGTGATATCCATGATGCTCTATTCCATTTTGTGGGTGCCCCTTTTGTGCACTGGGCTGGGAGAGGGGGTGCGGGTGGAGACAGGGATGCTAATTTGCATACTCCTGATCCCTGCCCTCTAGGAACAGAGCCATACAGTCCATCAGTGATGATGACAGTCGGGTAGATGGTGACAGGATCTGGGCTGTAAAAGCATTAACGTGTTGTAGGTTTGTTCTGCCGGTTATAGCACATCCACACTTTTCTTGAGAATTCTTTGAGAAGCTGGTTTGAGGTAGAAAAGTGTTTAGAACCCTAGACAGGCTGTTACCCGGGAGCCCCCTTGGCTCAGAAGGTGCCAGGCCCCTTCCCCTGCTGTGGTGGCTCAGTGTCCTTTGCAGGGAAGGCCTACGCTTCTTCGGAACCTGTTCCACAACTGTTTAGTAATTGTCTGCGAAACCTATGTACTGGCCCTGCTGTGAACACCCACGTATGTGCCAGCCTGCAGTGCCCCCACCCCCTTATTCCATATCTGGTGTAACAAGTCACATGCCTCTTTCCCAACACGAAGCTGTGATCACTCCACCATCGAAGTCAACTCAGGAAAGGATCACACCCAGAAAACAGATGCACATCAGAAGTGGGGTAGGAGCACCGTGGGGTTCAGAAGAGGCACTTCTAACTGTCCTGATGAGCTCTTGGTGTCCATTTGCAAAGCAGGAGGTGGCACTGGAGACTGATAACCACCCAGTTCACTCTGCAAAGAGCCATGCCCCTCCCTCTCTTCTCTGTGGCTTCCTGCCCCTTACGCTTCAGGTTGAACCCCCCATTCCTGGAGGCCACAGAGGGCAGGTGGGCATTAGATCTGTGGCCCTTTCAATGCATCATCTCAGATACCTGGGACGCAGACCCCGCCATGTAGCCTTCCAGCAGGAGGCAGGAAGGGCCACACTGTCCTTGGGCAATGCCCAGAGCCCTACTGAGCTGCCTTGTGACAGCCCTGCCTGGTTCCTTGGGCTCCGCACCATAGGCTGGCTTAGAGGATTGAGAACTGGCCCCCGGGAGCCGGCCTATGGCAGCTCCATCAGAGCAGGCTGGGACCACCTGCCAAGCCCCTAGGACTGAATGAGTTTTTCTGCCAAGACACAGCCTCCTTGGGAGAAGCAGGCAGACAGGTCCTGGATACCCCGTGACCTCTGCGGGTTGGCCAAGATGCTCCCATGTGTATCCTGGGTGGCTGGCTGGCTGCTGTGCTTAGGGAAGCTCTAGAGGTCAAGGAGTGGGAAGATGGCACCTCCGACATCTTTAGGAAGCACAAAGAAGGTTCTGGCACCTCCTCTACTGTAGGCACAGACACATGGGCCACCAGAGCCACTGCAGTGCGGCTGCTTCCCCCACCACCCTCCTCACCTTGCTCCTGGCCAGGCTAAGAGGCTCATCCCAAGGCAGCTGGGGCCGCGTCAGGCACATCTCCACTGTGGGGATGTTCCATCTAGGGTTCCCCTGGCAGAGCACATGCCCTGTGTCCTGCAGGCACCCACAGAGCCTCATGTTGGCCCAGGCTGAGAACGAGGGCTGAGCGGTCTGTGCGCGGGCCCTTGGCTTGGCTGTTATTCCTGTTGCTGTGAGTTCAAGTCTTCACTGTCCATTTCCGGTCTCAGTTTCCTTAACACCCATCAGCATCTCATGGAGAGCTGCAAGACTTCCTCTCAGCAAGGACCAGGCGGTGGGCTAATGTCTGCCTGTTGCAGAGTAGCGCTTCTACAACCGGGGTGGGAAAAGCAGAAGCGAGGACCGGGGTGTGAACACTGCACAGTCTCACCTGGGGAGAGAGAGAAGGTGCTCATGTGGCCACGGCTGGACTTCCAAGGCCATTCCTGATTACAAGGCCATCCAGGGAGCCTGGACAGATATATAAGACTGGCCACTACAAACCAGCAAGCCTCTGCTATTGCCCAGTGCCAGAGGCCTTCTTTCACTTGGTCCTCTGAGAGGGCAGCCCCATGCAGAAGCCAGAAAGTAAGTAAATGACAGTTAATCCATTGAAAGGGCATCCTGTCTGCAACTGGCCCCCTTGGCATGATGTAATTCGATCCAGGTAAAATTTGCCTCCCTCCCCTTCCACTAGCTAAGCATCCATTCCTCGGCTGCCTTTGGAGCCGAATCACTGGCCTGGTTCCGGATCACTGGTCTGGTTCGGCTGGTGGTACAGACCTGGGGACGGCACCCTGCTGGCAGCCTGCATGTGGGGCTTCTGCCTTTGTGCAGGCACCTGCACAGTGGCTCTTGGTTGTAGTGATGGCAGTGCCCATACACTTCCCTTATGTTTCCCAGCTGAGTACATCGGACAACTGTGCAAATAGTAACTTATTTTTTTCAATCCTTGGGAAAAACAAATATGGAAACGGAGGTAGAGGTCAGTGATGTGCTCTCTCAAGATTCCTCGGTGCGTGTAGAACAGTGTTATTGTGACCCAAACTCCAGCTCCTGGGTGCTGCCCATAGCCTGTGAGCCCTAACCCAGCCAGCCAGGGGCAGGAGGGGGACATCACAGATGCAGCCACTTTGCTCATGGTAGAGCCATCAGCTGGCTCTAAACCCGCTGAGTGCAGGAGGGTAGCAGGGTCATCAGGCTTCGAACCCCTGTGCTCTGTGGCCTCTTGCTACAAGCAGTAGTGGAGGCCTGGGGATCATAGATGCAGCCGGTCAAGCACTGGCCCCTGAGAAAGGCAGGAGATGGAGGACCCTGTTATATTACCTGCTGTTCCCCAGGAGAGGCAGCACAGGGACACGCTGGAGCACACCCTGGGTGGCTGTCTGCCCTCTCCACTTGAGGCTGCTGTTCCCTTCCAAGGATGGGAGAGCTCTGTCACAGCCACACTTTCCCTTCCCAGCTCGAAGCAGAAATCACCAGCTGGTATTTTCCACACTCTACCTCCCTCTGGCAGCTCCAAACTGTTTGCAAGCCCAGGGCTCTCCAGCAGAGTCCCGAAGCCAACTCTGTCCCCCACCCCTTTGGGAAATCTGAAAGCAGCCCCACTGTGCTTGCCTGCCCCATCCTCACTGATACAGCCCCACAAGTGCCCGGATGTGAACACCAGCCTTACCCATTCCCTGGCCCTAGTAAATGCTAGTCTAGAAGAACGACTGAGCCCAGTGCTAGCCTCCCGCCCCAACTCCATTTGTTGGCACCAGCTTTCCGAATTCCTGGACACAATTCCCTCCAAGAAGCAGCACCAGTGCCAGGAATTAAAGAACAGAGACCTTTCACCAGAGAGGCCAGGTCACGGTGCTCTTCCCATTAGCAGCTTTGATTGTTGGCAGTGTCGTCGTCATCTATACCTTTGCTTAATGAGAGCCCACTGCTGGCGGGACGCCGCACTAGTCAACAGCAAAGTGGATGAGCCAGCAAAGGGAGCCTTGTCATAAACTTACCTCACTTATTTGAAGTCAACAGTACACATCCGGCCAGAGAGGGGACCATTAAGTGAGGGCGTCCCACTCAGCCCTTCATCCAGTGAGCGTGTGTCTGGGAAGCTTGTGCAAAGGGCGATGCGAACCTGCTGTCTCCCTCTGTAAGCATTGTGCCACCCTGAGGGTGACTCCTATCTTTTAAATCAGTGGTCCCCATCCTTTTTGGCACCAGGGACCAGGGCTCCTATGAGAATCTAATGCCTGAGGATCTGAGGTGGAGCCGAGGCAGTGATGCTAGCGCTGGGGAGTGGCTGAAAATACAGATGAAGCTTCTCTGGCTTACTTGCCACTCACCTCCTGCTGTATGCCCCAGTTTCCTAGACCGCTGTTTTAGATGGCCCTGGCCTCTGACGACTTCTGGGCTCAACCGGATCTGCGCCCTCCCTTGGAGAACACTGGCTGTGCTGCGCTCGTCCATAGAAGCATGTGGTGTGCCACCTTTGAGGGGTTTTCAAGGATCATTTTTACTCTGATTCTCACCTAACTTGCTGACTTCGGAAGCTACAGCATAGTGTGCTTTTCGGAGCAGGCAGAGTCACCACACCTGGACGGACAGAGAAGTCTTTTGAGGAAGACTCTTTTGGGGGCAGTGATCTCCTAGCTTCCAAGTCCCAGAATACTAAAGCTAGAGGCCTGACCAGAATGGTAGCAGGCTGGCCTCTGTGGCCAAAAACGATCAGCAGATACAGTACAATGTTACTTCCAAGGTTAGGTGTGAGAGACTGGGGCTACTGTCCCTGCATACTCCTCTCAGGTCACTCACTTTAAGGGAAGCAGGCTGAGGAGCCCTATGGAGAGGCCCTATGATCACGTGAGTGAATTTAGGAGCAGCGCCTCCTGCCCAGCCAAACCTGAGGTGACAGCAGCTCCATTCCCCAGTGTTTTGGCGGCAACCTCCTGAGACCCTCAGTCACAACCACCCAGCTGAGCAGCTCCCAACCCTCAGAAACTGCACCAAATAGTAAGGTTGTTTGTAAGCTTCTGTGTTTAGGGTAATTTGTTATGAAGCGGTAGAGACCGGCACACGGGACAGCAGTGTCTCCGGCCAAGTGTATCGTCTCATCCCTGGGGCCTTGTGTGCCCCCTTCTCGCTTCAGTTCTCCCCTGGTGCCCACTCCCCCTTTTCTTTCCCTGCGTTTCGTCTTGCCTTAGCATGCCTAAAGGTGAAGCTAGCCTGAGTGAGCAGCAGGACGCCCCCCAGGAGACGGCCCTGGCCATCAGCCTGAACTACATCTATAAGGTGAGTCTTCCTGCGGTCCCTACTCACAGTCCAGACCGATTCAGCAGATGGGTCCTGTGAGTGCGCGCTATCGAGCACTACAGTGTGCTCATCCCACCGCAGGCACCGTGTGGGCTCTCAGCACTGATGCTGCCAGATAATCACTCATCCTCTCCACAGGGGTGAATGTATCTGCCACCAGAGAACCCCGCGGGGGGGCGGGGGGAGGCAGTGCGGAGTCCAGCCTCACTGCTTGTTTACCTCAGCTCTCACCTAGCACCATCAGGGGCTCACAGTGTCCACCCCTCCCACCACATCATCTCCCAGAGGTGGTGCTGCCCTAGCTCTCTGCTCCCCAGTTCCTCACACTGTGCGCCCTGGCGCAGCCGAGGGCCTACAACGACTGGAGCCTCTTGGACTTGATTCGGCTGCTGTGCCACGCCAGCCTGGACGTGGGGCTGCGCCTGCTGCCCAAGACTGACCTCCAGCAGCTCCTACCCCTGCTCCTCGAGAACATCCAGGAGTGGCCAGGACAGGTACCAGAGCCCCTGGCCACGCCTGCCGCCTCCATAAGGTCCCAGTCTCCCCTAGCATGCCCAAGATGGGGACGGCACTGCTCGGAGGGCATCAGAACGCCTGGGAACACCCCCTCCTGCCCCTGGACTCCCGAGTGGGCTGGTGAGGAGGTCAGGGTGGGAGATGGCCCCTCCTGCATGCATCCACCCTGGCGCCTGCTGTTCCTGCAGCTCCAGCAGCTATGCCTCACCCTGAGCTGGGTGTCAGATCACCACCACAACCTGCTGGCACTCGTGCAGCTCTTCCTGGACGTGACTCCCCGGAGCAGGTGGGTGCTCCTTCACCTCGGCCTGCTCCCTTGGACACTCCCTGTGATGAGTGGGGTGTGGGGATCCAGAATCCTCCCCGTCAGTCCCAACAAACCTCCCACTCCCGCTGTGCTGCCATCTCTAAAACTCAGGAGAAAGAACTAAAAATACAACTCACTAACGAGTTCATTACAAAGGAAAAAAGTCTAATTTTCTTACTATGGTTTTATTAGCAAACCAATTGTCTTGCACAATTAGTTTCTGACTGTGGCGTCCCTGCCCTCCTTTCTTTGCCTCACCCTCCCCAGCTTTTGTGGCTGGTTCCTTCTCATCATTCAGACCTCAGCTGCATTGTGTCCCCTGCTCCCTCCCTCCACCCCACCCACCTTCCAGACTCTGAGTTCATCATTCTGTTTTATTTTCTGCACAGCATTGATCTCTGCCTGAAATGATCTCACTGTTTGTTTCCTTGTTCATGGCCACCTCTCCTACAGGAGAGCATGTCCCTTACCTGTGCCACTTGCCGTATCGTCTGAGAATGAGCCCCCCTCCCACTTTTCCAACCCTGGCCTTCGCAGGCACCTCCCAGTTACTCTCCAGGGAGCAGCTGGGGGTTTTATTCAGCTTCACATCCCCAGGGCCCATCCAGTGCGATCATCCTGTGGTGGAGGCTCAGTCTGTTTCCTGTGAATCTGGTGGCAAGAGAGGCCTGTTCACAGTCCTGACAGAGTTCTTGCTCTGTATTTGAAAAAACTGGGCTACACGCACATATACCTGTACAGATGTGCGTGGGCACACGCGGTGGACCTCATGCGTTTTCACAGCTGTGTCGTATTCCCTGGTGTATTTGTAATCAGTCCCCTAATTCTGGATGTTCACTAAGTGACTGTCGGTGTATATGAACTTTGCACATTTATATAAATGTTTCTATAGGATAAATTCCTTGAAGTGAAATTGCAGTTCTAGTATGTACGTTTAAAATGGGGCCTTCAAGAAGAAGGTGTGCCAATTAATAATACCACCAAACAGGCATGAAAATACCTGTTTCTTCACATTGTCATTAATACTGTGTGTTCTCAGTTTTGTTTTTAAGTTTTTGTCAATCTGGTAAGTGAAAAATGCCATTCCAGGGTTCTAATTTTCATTTCCCTGACTGGCAGTGAAACTGAGAATCTTCTCATATGGTTATTGGCCTTTTGTGTTTCTCTTATAAATGACTTCTTGATGTTTCTTGCCCATTTTTCTTTCTATCTGGCAATTTATCTTCTTATATTGATTTATATATTGCTTATTATGTATGTCTCAGACACTGTGTTTTCTCCTAAGGCTGTATATTGTCCTTTTTAAACCTTCGTGTATGATTATCTTTCAGTGAACTGAATTTTTTAAAAATTTTTTTTAAATAAATTTTTTATTTTAGAATAGATTTAAATTTTTAGAAGAGTTGGTTGCATAGCAGAGTTGATTGTAACAGAATCTTTCTACCCTGAATAGGAAGGCCAACCTCACCTCCAGGACCCTTATAAATACTGTGTTCTATTTCCTTTCAGTATTTCTAGAGTTCTGTCTCTGCCAGCTCTTAACCCCATCTGGAATCTCTATTTTTTTGTAGGTGTGAGACAGGGACCTAACTTGATTTTTTTTCCACCCACGAAGAGCCAGTGGACCCAACACCATTTTTTTGTTTTTTTTCCGTTTTAATAATCTGTTCTTTCCTAACATATTACCTTCATTGTATCCTAAATTTGTGGTGGCATTCATCCACTAGCAGCATGAAGCTGTTGTTCCAGGAATCAGTGCTTTTGCAGGGTCCCTTTGTAGCTCAGGATCTTTGGTCAGTGCCTCCTAAATGCCAGGAGTGAATGAAACGAGCAGCCTAGCCTCGCTTTCAGACAGGCACAGTAGGACAATACCTCCTGCCAAGGGCTGTGCTAGGAAAGAGGCTTCACCACCAACATGCGTGGGATTTATTCGTTTATCTAGACATCTTATTATATTTCTTTCTCTAAACAGATAAAGTATTCAAATAGAACAGAGTTCAAAAGGCACCAAGGAGTATGTATTGAAAATGTGCCCCCCGGCCTGTCACCATCTGTGCTTGCGTGCATGTGCCCCTGCCCTTCCTTCACTTCAAGGTGTGTTTTGGCAGTCACTACAGACTGGGTCAGGAGACCTTCGTGTCCTGTTTATAGCCACATTGTACTGGCCGTAGTCTTTAGCTGGTCCCCTGCTCCTTGTGGTGCAATGTTGGAGGCACTTGCTGGTGGCCTTGTTCTGCCCTTGCTGATGGCTGCCCCACTGGGCCCAGTGCCCAGACCGACCCCAGGAAGGAGGGCGTGTTGTTGCACGAAGGGCTTTTTTAGTCTGCCGACTGGCTAAGCACCAGGCAGGGACTTCCACCAACATTTGTGTGACACTCGCTACCCCCCACCTTCCACCCCCTGCCACCTTGTTCACCAAGACTCTTGGATGCACCATAGAGTGAAGTCAAAGTTGAGCTTAACCGTGAAAAATTAAAGTAAATACTAAAGAAAAGCACTAGAAGCGGGGAAGTCCTTGGAGGAAAGTCAATTTGGGGACTGTGTCCTCTCTAGGGCAGCTCTGGCAGTTGCTGGGACAAGCTTGTGCTATCCCACTTGTGTCCAGGCCCAGTACATGTCCCCAGCAGACCTCTGTTAGGAGAAAGGCGATCTGAAGGCTGCTCTCACTCCTCTGAAGGTGGACAGATGTCTCCAGGTTCCCTCAGAGTAGAGGGAGGGTGACATCGTCTGCCTGGTCAGATGAAGGAGCAGACCAAGGCTTCCTAAATAGTCACAAACCACCCAATGACGATGGAGAGTTCTTTGTCCCTGTGGGCAACATGTGAAGAAACAGGCTGGCTCCCCCTCCGTTGACAGTCTGTGTGTCCCCACCATCCCTCTAGACGGCTGCATGACCAGATTGAGCCAATGACTTTAAAATGTACTGACCCTCCAACAATTTAACCTAGAGGAATAGCAAGGGTTTATTGACCATGGCAGTTAGCGTAGCGACATGCATACTAGTGACGAACTGGAACTGGCCTCACGACCACCACAGGTCACGTCGTGCCTGCTGTCCAGAGGCCCCAGTGCCCTAGCTGAGAACAATTCTGTCTCTACCCATGACCTTTCCTTCCTCCTGCTCCCTCTTGCTTATTGCTGAACCCTGGACACGTGCCAGGCTCTTTAGAGGTCAGTGCTGTAGGGAGTTCTCACCTGAGAAGACAGTCATTAAGAACATTCTAGAAGGAGGCAGCCAGGGTCCAAAAAACCTTCAGGGTTTTAGAGGGGTTCAGAATCAAGATGAAGGCCATGTCTATGAGTGAAGGGACCATGGCCGGAGCTGGGAGGCAGACAGCAAAGGAGAAGTGGGTCACGATGAAGCCAGGAGTATAGGAGTAGTGCTGAAGAGCATCTGCTCACTCTTAGGGGTGGCTGTGGGAAGGTGGTAGGAGCCGAGGAGACACACCACATCTGGCACCAACCACTCCGTCTTAGCTGCTCTGTCACCAGTGGCCAAATGGCCTTTCCTTGTGAGCAGGCATATCCATCTCCTCCTTGGCTTCGCGGGGCTGCTCTCCTGCTCTCCCCCTCCTCTGGCCCCTCCTCAGTCACCATCACCCATTGTCCTGTGTGCTGGAGACCTCCACTTGAGCTTGCTGTGCCTCAGGTTCTGTCCCAGGCCGTCTTCTCCATCCCTGGTGCAGTCTCAGGGCACCTTCCAGGCCAGGAGCTGCCAGCCCGCCCCAGGAGTTGCCTCTCTGGAAGACTGTCACCTGCCCTGAAATTGGGCTCCTTCCGCGGGAGCAGCCCAGGGCCAGCAGCTATAAAGGCCTCACTCCAGACACCTCTGAAGGACCTCGCCAGCCCACAGCTTGCAGGATCAACTTTGCTATGACTGCATCACAGCCTGGCTTTCCCCTCAGCCCAAACCTGCTTCCTTCGTTCCCTGACGCGTGAGCCGGAGAGCACACTATTCCTCCCCCCACGAGCCCGCTGCATGCTCAGCTCCATTTCAGAGCCCACTTCTTGGAGAACTCAACCTGATATGCCATCTGATCCACATCATGGCTTCAACTCCAACTGCACGCTGGGGGCAGTGCCCGTGGCCACACTTTGCTGCTCAGCCTCAGATCTGTGTGGGCAGGTATTTCCTGTTCGGCATGTGCAAAACAAGTCACCACCTTCCAAGGAGGGTCACCTCCCTGTTTCCTATTGCCCCATGGTGGCATCTGCTGCCTGAAGCCTAGGAGTCTGTGGGCACTTTCTGTCCTTTCAGGCTTTCCTGGCTTCCACAGTAGTCATCTGTCTTTGTCGTCCCACTGTGGCTGCCATGGTTCCAGCTCTTACTACTGCTCCCTGGATTTCTGAATCAGAGCCCTTTCTTTCCAGGCCTCTCCCACCTGACACCCCCCCCCACACACACACACACATACACACTGTCCTGCAGTGTGACCTTCCTTCTAATGCACATGTGGCCCTGTCACTCCTGTTCTTAAAATCCCTCAGGCTTCTGTCCTCAGGATGATGCTCAAATAACCTAACCTGATGTCCGAGGGCCTTTGTTCCTCCTTCTCAGTCCTACTTTCCCTCTGCCCCCCATGTCCTGCAGGCTCCCCTGCTCCAGCCACAGCCTAACACTTTGCAGTCACCAAAAACACGATCAGCATTTGTCTTTGAGCTTTTCGGCATGTGTTCCCTCTTGCTGGAGAAGCCTCTTCCCCTCTTCACCTCCTCTCTGCTTGGGTAAGGTTTCTTTACCCCTGAGATGAGGCTCAGAGCAAGGCGGCCCCTCTCCTGAGAAACCTCCTGCCACCGGCCCTGGTTGCTGGTACCCTTTGCGGACTCCTTGGGCTAGAGCATGACTTTGCTCTCTGGTCCTTGGGGCCTGGCGCCAGAGAGGGGCTTGGTGAGCAGGCTTATGGAGCAGTTGCTTCTGGAGGGCAGAGTTCAAAACACATCCACAGAGAGATGATTTGTTAGTAACAGACTCCACAAAG